TTTACCTGTGATTTACCGTTGAGGTTCGTATCCATGATGTCCAACACTACCGAACCGGTCACGTACCATCGACAGACGCCCGCGTGGCCGTTATTGCTCATCATGTATTCACCGGCGGCTTCGGGAAGCAGCATATCACAGCCTATACGCCAAGACTGCACCGACCATCCGTTTCCTACAGGACCGACAGCACATACCTTGTCGCTGGTTCCGGAAATCTACTTTGATGACTATCCACTGAAGTGGCTTCAGATCGTATACGACCTCAGCGAAGTTTTGCGACGTTCTCAGCATCCTTTTGCTGGAGTCACACGCGTTGTAGATCCTGGAGGAGTTCCGCGAAAGGTCTTCCGGGACAGGGGTGATTTTGTGGGTCACTCGATCGACCAGGTACCATCCGTCAAATAGCTAAGATATGCCTTTGTTAATGAACCATGGAACACACGTACGTCGGTTTACTATGATTTCAGACGTCCGGCAATTGAAGTCATCTACCATTACTTCGATCTCGATTTCTGATCCCGCTGGACTGACCAGGTAGAGCATACACGCCGGGATGTACCACACCGGTGCAACGTCACCACTGATCATGTAATATCCAGGTTGATTATGCATAACCGAACACGATTCTGAAAACGATAAAATAATTGAAACTCTAACATCAGGGTCTCGTTTCCTATTAACAAAATCCCCCATGTTTTCATTGTCCTTAATTTCCTGTTTCCTGGTCCAAATTCGAATGACTAACTTTTATGATTAACAAAGCTTGTGGGAACCCTAGCCCATGCATTGGGGAAAAAAGCACAACGTCTACAAAAGCGAAGTTGTAGGAAAACAATTTGCATGTCAGGAGTTGGCCTTGTTAATCTGTTGTTTAATAAAAGGATGAGTTTAAAATTTCTTATTGCATTTCCTTGGGTAATCCGGAGAAAACCGGATAAATCGTGGTCTTTTTCGACGTGTCACAAAATCCTTAGAAAAAGTTCTCATGATTTTCAGATTTAGATCTTGCTGCCATAGCAGCCAAATGATTCGCTTTTGTTCCTTCGCGATGCGTAGAAATATTCACAATGTGGAAACTATCTTCAATATCTTCAATCCCTATCTTGGAACTCTGTTGGATTCTTAAGAAACGGTACAATGTTGGTTTGGTCTTCCTCGCACTTTCTTGATTGGGTGGGGTGGGGAGGGGGTCGACATCTCGCACCATTTTCTTTTCATGAAATTAGGCCTGAGAAGGGCGAAATGCAAATGGCCATATAGTTTAATGGTCTGCTCACTGAGCAACCTTAGTCTCAAGGAGTCTGTGGTAAACGGAATTCTTGGTTAAAACCAGGATCACTCTCCTCCGAATCGAACCCCGTACATCCGGAGTCCAAACCGACCTCTTAAGCCCTGTTCCACCACAACGTCACATTCTATTACCGACATCATGCTATCAGCAATAAAGGTGAGGTAAAGAATGTAGTCGGATGGTGAGCTTGGCAACAACCACCTGGATACCAACTTACCGATCTTTCTCAAGTTGTTTAAAATGTTCGCGACCGGCGTTTGAACCATCGGCAGTGCCTAAAATGACCGTAATCAATGTTGACCATAAGCTGGCCATGATGAAGAGGCAAATAGAAAGAAGTACGGTGCTACCATCGTCGCCGCCGATGACCAAAGGCAAAATCCGATCCAAAAGTTCAGAGCCAACGACCTGCCGTCATACATCGCGGAGGTGACAGTGAATGGCGATCACGTCGCTTGCCCTGTTCTGTCTATTTGCATCTATGGACCGACTTTTACCGTCACTCATTGACAACACCAAAACAATTAGCAAAATCGTCACGTGAATAGATGAGGACAAATGGCTTTCCGTCATCCCGCACACTTCTCACTCAGCGCCTCAACCTTCTATTAATGATACATACTGACGTCATCGACTTTTGCTCACCTGTATGTTGCGCTGTCACTCTTGCCGGAAACGTACCATGTTAATGCCTGAAGGTATAGAGAATTCTAGCAGGAGAAAATCGACGAATCGTACAGCTGAATCGTAAATTTAAATTGTCTCAACGACGAATCATAAGCAGCGTATGGAAGTGCTGAATATATTGAATCTGACTGAATTTGTCATCCAAGCAGGTAAACATTGGCCAGTAATTAGTGAACAGAACGACTGATACTGATCGATTCCCTAGTGAGACATTTTTCCTATAAAGTGAGTCAATAACTCACATTAAGTACAGCAACATTCCTCCTGGCGGATCAGAGGCTTTGACAAATTTGGTCACTCTATCATCACGTATGAACGCAGACTTAAACGGAAAAGCTTACTTCGACCGCTTGATGGCACTACTACGGAAGGTCAGACTGTTCTGTTAATCTACTGTAGCAACCCTGCCCAAATGAAGGATATGTGAAAGCTCATAGATCATCCGCACTGATTTTAAATACTGAAACTTTCGCTGTAAATAAATATAAACCCGAAGATTAAAAACTTATGTTGGAGCGAAACCAAAAGGGGGCACTGATTGAATGCGATAATTTTTGGAAAGGAATTTTTAAGGTTGATTGGATCCAAACACTCCACTCGAAAAAAATGTACTGAACAGTTTTCACCCTCTACTCCAATGCTTAAACGCTCTATTATGTC